TTTTATTTAGAAAGTATATTGCTAAAATTAATTGTTAAAATTTTATTATAAAAATTAATTTTAAAAAAATTAACACAAGCAAATTTGCCTGTATTATAATCTAAGAGATAATAATTTGCTTGACTGATATGAAAAGATTTCTCTAGAACCAAATAAGGTTGAATAATTATTTAAAAATAAGAGCATGACCAGATGCTCTAATTTTCTCTATTTTAGAACTAGTTCTCTTATACAAATCCAAGACATCTTCAGAAGATTTGATAGATAAAATAGAATCAGAAACATAAACAGTTTCAGTTCTCGATTTTCTTTCTTCAGTCTTTTTTAGCTTACTATCTAAAACAATATCCTCTTCCAAAGCTAAATCAGTAGATTTGCTAATTTTAGTATCATGTATCTTGTTTTCTCATGCTGTAAAGACAGAATTGAATTTATTAGCATCATGATTGGAATCTTCACTTAAGCTAAGTATATTAATATTTGATCGCAATGCCTCTTCTCTAGAATCTATTAGCAGATGATTTCCTCTTCATATTTGATATACATGGCTTGTTAATATTTTGTATTTGCTTGCTATAGCTTCTGATGCATGTTTTATTGAATTTCTAGCATTAATAATATCTTGTATATTATTATCAGATAAAGGAGTTGCATCAGATCACAGATATTGAACTTTTTTTTCTGAATTCTGTAACATAATATATTTAAAATAAAAAAATATTTAAATAATAATTCAAAAAAAATTCAATACTGTTTTAATATATATCCAATTCCTGTTTAGTGTTTCTGAACCATTCAGTTAATATCTGATCCTATTTTGGTGTTTCTAAACTATTCAGTTAATATTTAATCCTATTTTAGTGAAAATTTGATTTAAATATATTAGTTAATATCTAATTCTTATTCAATTTGCTATTCTTTTTGGTTAGCATTTAATTAATATTTTCAGTCAATATTCGATTAGTATAACTACAAGCAATACAATAAAAACTTATTATATCTCATGATTCAATAGAAAGCTAGATATTGTGAAATTTAATCTGAGAATATAGAGGCATTGTATCAAATAATTTTTTATCTTTATTGGGTACTATGTTATCTATTAGCAAATCAGTACTTAAATCAATAAGGGTTTGGTTATAAGATTCTTTTTTCTACTGTTAAATTTTTAGTTATTTGAGTCTGATTCAAAGAAAACATATTTTGTGTAAAGTCAATAGGATGTTCTTGCCCTCTCTATATTTGATAATACACTTTGATGATGTTTTATACTTACTTATCAATTTATTTAAAATTTTATATTTCAGTTTTATATTACAACACTGCATAATATAAGAATAATCTTCAGAAGAAAACAGAGGTGCATCAGATCTTAAATATCTAGTTATAGTTCTACTATATATATGATAATCGATAGTTTGTAAATTATAGGTATTATTAATATTAGTTATCCACTATTTAATTTATTTTTAGCTATTAATAAGGATATTAATAAAGAATTTTACTTATAAATTTTTTAAATATATTTATGACTAAGTTGAAAAAAATATGTTCAATATATATACCTTAAGAAATACCAAAAATAGAAAGGTTCTGGAGAGGCCTAGTCATCAGCTTGGTAGCATCCATGAATCAGAACTTGAGAAAGCATTATGCAGTAGCATCAAAACTGCTTCTGATATTGCTAATAAATATAAAAACCTCCAGAGCATATATTTAAAACAAAAAGAGAATATTGTGCTAGTTAAGTATATTAAAAATAATCTAGATCACTCATATAAAAAAAATGAGCATATGCAAAATAATCTAGATTACTTGCATGAAGAAAATATATGTATGCAAAATTCTATAAATCAAATTATCCCTCTAACTAAGCAACTAAATAATTTGAATAATAAGCTTGGCTTTTAAATTACTTGTGAATAAAAGTCTTGTGCTAATATTAATGCCAAGCAGTTAAAAGAAATAGAATTACTAAAATCTGAAATTAAATTAAAAAATTCTGAAATTACCTTTTTTGAAGTTAGAATAAATGAACTAGAGATAAAGTTAGAACAAACAGTACAAAAAGCCTTATTAAAGAATACTAATATTATACTATTACTTCAAGAGATTAAAGTAAAGGAATTGAAAAATGAACTAAAACCAGTTATACAAAATTTATTATTAAAGAATGGATTAATTTTTTGTCTTTGATCTAGAGTAAGAGATCTAGAAGATGAACTAGAACAGATCTCTCTAAAACCAGATTTGTCATTTAATGATTCAAAAGCAGGTAGTGATGCAGTAAAAGAAATATTCAGTTTCTCTAAGACCCCTTTTTTTTTCATATCACTCAAAGCTTGAACCTGATGAAAACAAAGTTAAAGATATAGTGAAGTCTTCGATAGAGCATGTTGATCAAAAATCAAAAAAGAAACTTGATAGTATTTTAACCTTACCTATTATTACATTAGGAGTTGACAATGCTTTAGTTAATGATTAGTATATAATTTTGCTTATATTCAAGCTTGTTATTTTAGCCTTAGTGATAATATTAATTATATGATATATATATAGACAAATTTTTTGACTAAGCAGAAAGAAAGAAATTTTTTATCCAGTTTATAGAAAACAGGATTATAAATATCCAATCCATCATGCAGAAGAATTCAAAAACAGAAATACCTTCTATGAAACTTTATCTTTTGGATATGGATAAAGTTACAAAACATAAATCATTCTGAAATATTGGTCATCTGGTGATAACATAGCCTTTCTGTATGCTACTCAGTAGGAGGAGTGGTACAGATAAAACTAATTTACTTATGAATCTTGTTTTTGATGATAAGGATGAATATGTACAAAGATGGAAAAAGTGTGGATCTCACTATATTAAATGTGATGATCTAATTATTTGTAGATATTATCCTGATGAGCCAAAATAGACATATGTGAGATATATATATAATCTAATTTCAAAAGACCCAAGAGCACCTTACTATAAGGATATTAGTTTCAGTTATATTTCTTCAGAAAAAATTTCTAGTACAAGAACTTTCTTACCTAAAAGAAGCAAGTTACTTATTATTAAAGATCTATGTTTAGCTCTAGAGCATATACAAAATCGAATTGGTTAATTTTTTGGAAATGAATATTACCGAAATAATTCATATATATATGTAATATAAAAATATTATAAAGTTGATATATTCATTCATAAAAACTCAGCTTATTTAATATTATTTAACTTTGGTAGCAGTATTTAAGACATATCTAAAATTGTTGAATGATATACTGATGATGTAAAGGGCACATTCATGATTATTAATAGCTACCTTCGCAAAGGTGAGTTTGTTGTATTTGATTTCACTAGGTTAAAGAATGATCCTCTAGCAATTCGGCTAAGATTTGATACACCATTGAATCTGCAGAAAGAAATAAAAGCAAGGCAGAAGCAAAAGGAAAAAATGCTTTAGCTAATTCATAAAACTTTTTACTGCACTCTCGCAAGCTCAGAGATACAGAAATTGATTATCTTTGATACATCTATAACTGATAGTAGTTTGTATATGATGTGTACTCTGAAAAGGCATCCAAGTAGGTAGACTCAATTAAATATATTTATTTGTTATATACTGTAGTTTGTTCATCATTTTCCTAATGCTATTCTTGAGATCACAATTAAGTAATGTAATTTATACATTAATATTTACTACTGACTTTTCACAATTCTTGCTCAAAGTCAGAAAATAAAGTTACTTCACTTTAGTGAAGACTTGCAAAAAAAACTGGATTACTATATTTTGTTTTTCGAGGTTGTGAAAAAACTGATATATGTAAAAAAAAAATAAAAATCTATGAAGTATATAATAATAATTACTTACATTTTTTTTGTTTTTAGCTACAAATTTGAATCATAATATTCTGTAATATAGGTTGATAAAGAATCATTAAAAATGCTATAAATTACTAAAAAATGCTATAAATTGCTAAAAAATATTATAAATCACTAGAGTTAACTATAAACAATAAAGAGTAAAAAATAGTTAAAACCAATCATAACTACTATTCTAGTTTAAATTCTGAAATAGTGTAGGTATTAAGCAATCTGCAATATAGTTATAATGATAAAACATCATAAATGTAGTGTTCTTATATTTGTTGTCTATTTAAAAAACTTCTCAAACATAACTCAAAATACTTCTTCAATAATGGATTTATTCAAATGATTGAAAGTGCATATGAAGAGCATTCAGTTTATATTTATTGTACTGTATACAACTCCTTAGTAATTATCTACAAAAATACAATTAAATGTGTAAATGATTATCTAAAGAAATGTATTACTAAAACCACTAATATGCATTCTAATCCTGTATGAAAGAATATGAAAAAAGAGAGAAGAGTATCATCACTTAGCATTAATATAGTTGATAAGATATATAAAAGATATTATTTTATATACAGTAAAGGCTTGAGCTATTATAATTATAAACATTCAAATAAAAATAAAGTTAAAAAAAGGATTGTATTTTACATAATTAACAGTATAACAGTTCTTCAATAGGTTTGGAGGACTTATAAATTGAAACCTGAGACATGAGCAAGTTGAGTTTGGAATATAATAAGAAATGATAATACTTTTGACAAAAAGAAGTTTTTAGGTATAACTCCTCATCATATAAGAATTTCTGATAATCGATATATAGATTATTTTGGCCAAAAAATTCAAGCTAAAGATGTACCTGCACATTATCAGAATTCTCCTATTTTATTCAATCATTATCTTTCTAGCATCTGACCAGAAAAGAAGAAAAAGCAGTTATGTGATAGATTAGATCTTGTATTATATATAGTTGCTTTTATAGTATTATATTAGCAGAACTATAGAATTGTCCAATATTCAGGATGGTCTTATATGTTAAAGTGACTATCAAATCTTAAATATTATTATATTAAAAAATATTATAACAATGATAGAAAAATCTTCATTAAAAGTTTAGAATATGTGTGAATTAACTATTTCAATTCTGAAGACTTATATTTTTAAGAAAAAGATATTAACATAGATTTCTCAGATTTTAATAATAATTATAAGTATATGTACTAAGTTTTCCAGATTATAGATTCTTTATTAAAATAGCAGAGACAGGTTTTGCTCTAGGTCTTGTGCTAAAGAATATATATTCAAAAAATTATTAGATTGATTTGCAAAATATTTTTTATTATTAATAGTAATAAAATTTTCTTGGTGGATACATTCAAATTACTTTATATGGTGTGGTTTGAGGGTTTAAAACCCATGAAGTCTGCATCACCTTCCTTCTCACACATACCCTACATTGAGAATAACGATCATGTCCAAAAAAAGAAAAAAAAGATATATCTATTTATTTAGATTTTGAGATAGATACATTCAAACTATTTTTTATCTTATAGTCAGTAGACTAAGTACAGGAAGCTTGTTCAGTCTTCCTCTTCTTACAACAGAATAATGATAGTTGAAGATTGCACCCTCAAAAAGTGTTTTATAATATGTATATAAAGAAAAATAAAATTTAAGAAGATAATAGCCAGATCTTAGGCCTACCTCAAAAGGCAAAAACTGCCTCTAAGAAGAATATACTATAAAACTAAGTGTAATAAAAGTCAATTAACATACCTTTAAAGGAAGTGATGTATAGAAAAAAAAATAAATATAGTCAGAGAAAACTTGCTACATAAGTTATCAGGAAATATAAAATTTGTAAAATTTTTTTATTTTTCATGTGACCTGACCAATAAAAAAATTGTGAACCCAAAATTTAGATCATGCCTGTCGTCAGTGCTTTTAAACTTTAAAAAATATATCGTTTTCGCGTCTGGTCTTTACAAATCACTACGCTACAGTACAATGGACCTCGACTTACAGAATATCAATATGTTTACCAGCAATTAACAAATCATACATTAGTTGCTAAAAATTTTTATTCGTATTTCGGTTTTACTTCCTTATCAGACGGCATAGATGCACTTCGAAAATTGTTAGAATCATTACGTGACGATACTAAATTTGGTGACAATGTTAAGAGATATTTGAAGCGAAATGATTTTTTTACGAACGATAGGGTAGAACCTTATTTTGCGAGAAAAGTGAGAAAGGGTAAAGAAAAGATAGCTACAGAGACAACGTTAAACATGGCGAACCAAAGACTCAACCTAGCCACTGAAGTCGTTCACAAAAATGTACTTAATCATTTGGGTAAAGAAGCAAATAATTTAGGAGAAAATGAAAACGACGAACAAAAGGAAGCTAAATCAAGTACACATCTTGTCGAAGACTATAATAACAGCAATACGCAAACCAAAGATTTCCATGTTATCTTGATGAAATCCCCCCTCACGCTGAATACCCATATATGGGAAAAGATTGGATAATGGATGGTATAAACTTGAGCAATAATCTAAAGAGAATCGGTATAATTAAACGTGGCCATTTTAACTTTTCAGATACAGACTGTACATCACAAATAAGTGATGACCATTGGGACAAGATCATAATCCCATTTTTAACAAAACATAAATTGAAAAATGCGTTTTCAACGGAAGATGACGAACAAATGCTAATAAATATGTTCGGAGAAGAGAACAAAAAGAAGCTCTTAGAACCAGGCAATCTGAATTTGATATACAGCTTGACCGATATCGAAGAGGATGCCATAAAAGTTCTTGAAATTGTGAGTCGAATACGATTAGTTTTGTATCTTAAAGAATTTTCTGTTTGCCAGACCTTGACATCGCTGGAGAAAAAATGGCCAACATCTCTTCCTTCTGATCTATTGGACAAGCGATTGCGAGATATTTTATGGGCTTCTGAGCTTATAAAATGGGTGTAAGTGTCATCTTTGTCTTCCCTCTTGCTATATTACATAATAACAGTTTTTCTTGTAGGATCATGCAATGGCAGGATGGTACTTTTCTAAAAGAAATGAAAGAGCAATGGATCAAAACACAGTTAGCATCTCGGCTCCTCGTGCCACTGAGACCAGTAAAACCAGGCGAAATTGAATCAAACGCAGAAAAAATAGTCTCTAACTACAATAAAGCATTGATATTATCAAAAATAAAGTCAAAAACTCGTGTAGATGGACTTGATGATGATGAAGAATTTGAGAATGTTTGGGTTGAACTGAAAGGTGGCTTCGGTAATTATCATGAAGCTGAAAACCAAAACAATCGTGAGGATTTAGGCATATTGCTTAAAGGATTCTCAATAATGTCCACAATGCAAGCACTTACGTTGCCAGAAGATGCCAAGAAGAACATTGGTGATCTTGAATTTTTCGGAATAAGAGGGATTGGAAATCATTTTCAGTTCTGGGGCAGTTTTCAGGCTTCCCAATATCTCATGTGCTCGTATCTATTAGGAGAATTTCGCTTACCATCATTTGAGGGAAGAGAGGGTAGTGGCATTCAAGATCTATTATATGCAATTAAAATTGTTTACTCATTCAAGGTATAGATTCGTTTTATTTTCAAAAGAGTTTGCTTAAGCTTTTTGTCATACCTAAATTGCTTACCAATATACAGGTAAGGGTGGAAGCCAGTAAATTAAAGTTTCATCAGATCAGAGCTCTAGCAAGAAGTAAAAGAATTTTTGAAGCTGACTCTTCGCCAATCAAAGCAAAAAGAGTTAGAGAACAACGAACTTATCGTTGAATCTTACCTTTTTCTATTTCTTTTCCTTCAATATAACCCTGATGAGAGTGATACTTGGTGACAGTCATACGAATTTATTCTTTGCAGCTAAGAATTATTAATAAAAATACAGACATCACCATTTTTTTCTTACACATCTTGTATCTACTATATCTCTAGTTTTATCCAATTCCTTTGAAGTATCAGTTCAATTCCTAATATAGAAATGGTATATAAAACTTTTATATCTGCCGTTACAGCCTAAGTCCCCTTAGTGTTCCTCAACGAATGTTATTTGACATACCGTTGTGGACTGGGTTGCTGTGATCCCGGATATTGCCATTACTATTTGGTATTGGATTTTGATGTATGCCGTTGCATCCTAAGTCCCCTTAGTGCTCCTCAACGAATGTTATATGCATACCGTTGTGGACTGGGTTGATGTGATCTCATACAATTAGAATATAAATATTCCTTTGAAAAATTGCCAATGATTACATGTAAGATTATTTAAACAAATTTCTGAAGGGGTAAGTACAAAAAATTGAACTTTTTATATGCTCTTTTTAATTGTATTCCTAATGTTAGGGAAATGAAACGATAGCCCGGATCAAACCATTTTTGGCTCACCTATTTCGAAATTGATTTGGAGAAGATTGAATATGAATATGTAATTCCTAAAATATTATCACATAGCAATGAACCCGTTTCTGTTTTAATCAATAGCGTTTTCTAACACATGCTTACTGCGCCTGTGAACTCGAGTTCACAGATACGGATGCGATCAAAAACCAACATGTAACAATATAAAAAATATATTAATACATTAATAAAGTTTTAATTTCGATCTCATTGTATCAAAATGTATATTTATTAAAGTTAGTATGCTCTAATTATATCATGTATACGTTTTAATGCTGATGGATCAAATGAATAAATCGAATCTTTATTACCTTTCTTCCCGCTACTTAAATTGTAACACAATCTGCATCGTCAGGGGACCAGATACGGAAAATACATTAGGTAACGGTAAATGTTTAACTGACAGATACGATGCATATATTATAATACGACAGGGTGAAACCTGAACCTGAGTCGGGACATTATTGATGCAGATCACCTCTAACTATCCTAAAATAGTACCCTAATCCTAATTAAGTACAGATCTGCATCAAAAAGATAACCTAAACAACTCAGGTTTCACCCTGTCATATTATAATTTATGAAAATTATCACATTCATATTGCCTATATATTCCATCCGCCACCTTTTTGCATGTTTTGCAATACAGATGTGAATGGTGATTGCATTCGTCACAAACCCTTTTTTTCTCGCAAGCTCAAAAAAAAATGTATAGATAACTAATATTTTTAAAAAATCTGCTAATTAGCTATTTGTGGCTTCGAGCAAGAATTGCAAGAAGGTGGGGATATGCCACTTTTCGACATAAATTTGTTTTTCTTTATTTGTATGTACGTTATTCAAAATTTTCATTTATATTTCTGATATTAACAGAAAAATAATATACTAATATATATGTAGCTAATCTATGATTCAAAATTTTTTTATACAAAACTGTACTTTGTATTCTAACAAATAAATTATGCATTTATGATAAGCTAAGATCCCGAGGCTCATATAAATACTGACATCTGAGGCAAATTTAGTCAAAATAATAATGATAACAAAAAAAAAATACTATCATACAATATTTAAGGTAAAATTTGTCTTTTTACTTAGTTAAATAGATTAGTTATATGATATAAATATAAGTTAAGGTGCAGTAGTCACGTGATTATCACATGTGGGACCCACGGTCTCACACATGACTAAAGTGGTTTTTTATAGTTTGGATTTATGTAGCAGTAAGTTTTGAAATTGTATTTGCATTATAAGATCTGATTCATTTAATTTTATTTATTCCAATCTTTTGAAATAACTTGTAAATCTTTATGGTTCTTTGTGTTTTTTTATACAAATTATCCTTTGCATTTTCCAGAATAAGATGTTGTGACATTTCATTATAAACCTGGTTCCTAGCAGTTTGATCACTAACCCTCTCTTATTTTTCACAATATCATCAATTCTCTCCTCATATCCTTTCTTATAATGGTACTAACATGAAATTTCCTCTTGATTTGTCTTCATCATATGTGTTTTTGTGTTACATGCTTTTTGATATAAATGAATTAAATTTTTTGATATAGAATTGTCAGTACCTTCTACAAAATTATCATTAATTTTGGTAAACTCTTTCTTAATGAATGTAAATAATTCCTTCAACAAACCTTGCAATGTATTCTGCTTACAGAAAATTTTTGGAGACAATTGTCTTAATTGAGTTTGTGTATGACTTTCAGTGTTTTTATCTGAAAAGGTTTGATCTTCTGATCAAACTTGTAAAGTAACAATAATATTTCTTTTATCTGTAATAAAGCTTCTTATCTGGTCTTGAATGGAAAGTTTATCTATCTGTTTCTCTTGATCTACAATAGGTTTATCATTCTCAACTAACCCCAATTCTCTTATATATTCTAAAACATTATCATCATTCTTTATAGTATCTGTACTTACCTGGCTTTTTTTACAGAGTTATAGTCTTTGCATACTAGATAGAATTCATCAGAAATATATGCAAATTCTTCTTTAATTGTTTCAATAGATTTGGAGCAAACTAGGTATTTGGGGTTTCATGATTCTGTGCATATAATATGTTTTTTAAGGCAGGTTCAGTGAAATATATGATCACAAGATAATATGGGTTGCTGTCAATAGAAATCAAGCAAATCTACATTTGAAAAAAAATTAATGCCTTAACTTTCACAGCTCATATCTCGATGAATTTTAAGGTTACCTTAATGGTTAATATTCAAAAGAAAGCTTAGATCATAAGCTTTCTTTTGAATATTAAATCATTAAGATAGCTTTAAAATCCATCGAGATATGAGCTATAAAAGTTAAGGCATTAATTTTTTTTCAAATGTAGATTTGCTTGATTTCTATTGATGGCAGCCCATATTATGAATACTTGGAATGGGTGTATTAGAATTTCTCCTTTGCAGATATGACATAGATTTAGCTTTGAAATATTCTTAGCATAAGTGATTTTAGATATATTTCTGTTTTTTAGGTAATTTAATAAAAGCACTTTGAGTTGGAAAGCATTAACATTATCTGTATAACTATTTGTTGAACTTGGTAAAGTTTCACTAACCATATCAGTAAATTTGAATAGAACTCAATTATTAAAACTCTGAAAGTTAAGTATGATTCATTTTATATATAGACACTTCTATAACTAAAAAAAATAATTTTCAAATTTTATAAAAACTAATTTCAAATTTGATAATTCATTTATTCTAGTATAAACCAAAAACTGATCAATTTACTAGCAATCATGAGTGATTTACAAATTATCAATTTTCAAACTAATTTCAAATTTAGTGATTTATTTATTCATGAATTATTTAGTATGAGCCAAGAACTGATTGATCTACTGGCGATCATAAATGATTTATAAATTAGTAATATGTTAACTAGGTGAAATAAAGCAATAATAATTTGATTTAGACAGAAAATCCAAAATCACTTAATCTACTGGCAATTTTTAAGTTTATTGATATTTTGATAATACTGATCTTAGGCATGTTTTATTAATGTGCCATCTGGTCAATAAAGCCATTTTCTTACTGCACGCTGAATTATTTTAGCTGAATTTATTCATTTTTTCTATAAATAATATGCTCACTAGATGATAATAGCCTATCAATTTTTTTTTTTTTTTTTGGTATTAAGGTGACTTCTTTGGTCTTTTGACTTTAATTAATTATTTATCGGTATTGTAGTTCAATGAACTACTACAGGAGAGCATACAATTGGCTACACATGTAACTTTTCTATATTACTTATTTAAGGAGTCTGCCCAAAGGTTTCATACCAATTGTCATACCTAATACCTCTGCTTGGGTGTTCTACTTTAAACCCTCTGAACCTGTAACCTGTATTAATATTACTGGTTATCTTAGATGTACCAGATCATCATCCTCAACCTTAGAACTAATTTATCTTTAAGGTAAACCCTTCAGAGCCTTCTGTACCTATTTTTACAGCTAACCTAGGTATTGTTATAACAGAACCAATACTTGTGGTCAGGGCTAACCATTAAACCGCTATGCCCTTGTAGAGTTCACTTAGACCCCAGTATCTACTTCACAGCATAATCTTAGTACTTTAGTATACCTCTGCCTTTTTCTCTGCCCTTTTACCAAACTCCTAATTCAGATAGTCCATGTAGGACTATGACCAGTCTATCAGTATATCAGGTTGGTCTGATATCCTTTTCCTCTGGTTTATTCTAGTGGCCTGATTGGTGATATCTTTGAAACTTCCAACCTGGAGGTTCTTGTCTGTTCAGCTACTAGGACTGAGTACTAGACCTAGGTATCTGTTTCGCAGACTAGCCTTTACAGTAGGGCCATCAAAAATCCAGCTATCTTTTTACTCAGGTTTTCTTAAATGGACTTCTTGTTACCCAATTGCAATAGATGTACACAGTTACAAGAACTTATCTAGTGTTTGCATCATCTGATTTGTCGGTTTGCATTTCTCTGTGTAACTCCAACATTGCACAGATGCCTCATGACCTGCCAGTCATGCTGGTGCGACCACTATTACAAGTATCCTAACTCAATCGTTAGTAACAGTTATCATAATATGAATATTACAAATGTAATTATTTAAATTTTTGCCATCGATAGGATTTGAATACCCAACTTACTACTTGGAGAGTTGACAACCTAACCACTTTACTAGGTTGTCACACCTTACACCTGTCAATTTTTTATATACAAAGTTTTAAAATTTGCTAATTAAGTTTTAAATTCTCTAAATTTAGAGTTATTAGCTATATATTCTCTTCTGATTAAATTATTTTTAATACAGAATACAAAGTTTCTCCAATAGTTCTTACCTTTTATTTCATGTTCTAGTATAAATAAATGTCTACGTATATATTTGGGCAGATAATACTTTGCAAATCATAGCCAAGCTTCTGGTATTTTTAAATTACTAATATAGTTTAAACCATATTTAAATAACATGTATCAGGTATAACTATTTTTTTTCCATTTCTTAAAAATATTTTGAATATTAGACATATTTATATTTCAAACACATGGATTTTATTAACTAAGACTTTTATTTAATAAGAATTTCACATAGCATCTTAATTTTATATTTCAACTTTTTAAGTTTGAAAAGTATTTTGCAAATATTTTTTATTTTAAAAAAAAAATAATATATAATAGCTATGTAAGCATCTGGATCACTGTTATGATCTAGACTCTATGATTTTAGTTGCAAAGAAGACAAGTGAGGCATATGTTTTTTTTAATATATCCTAAACTATTGTGAATTTGATCTACTGTCCACTGGGATATATCTTCTGGCTGATTTCATTCAAATTTCATTTCAATAAGACATAATGCATATTTGTCTTTTTGAATATATTTTAATATAAGAATATAGTCGACTATTAGATCAAATTTATAGCCTTTTTCTTTATTTTGGCCCATATATTCAATAAGTTTTTCCTGAATAGAAGGCCTCAATTTATGTTCTAGTCTTTTTTTTTGCTTACTCAATCTCTTGAGCAATTTCAGAAGGTAATGGAGATGCTTCAACCCAAATGAGTTGGCTTAAATATTCTACACAATCAACTGCCAAATATATTAGATTATTCCAAGCTAGGTTTTCATCAATGATTCAAACATGTTGTAACAACTTAAGAGTCATTCCTTGACTAGTATGAATGGTTATTGCATATCTGAGTTTTCAATCTATGACATTTTTATCTACTAATATGTCTTTTAAGAACTTGTCAGGAAGTGTATTTAAAGGCAAATATACTATATCATTTTTTACTAACTCCTTCTTTTCAGATGAGTCAGGAATTTGAATAAGGCAATTCTGTTTGCATTTATCTTTTGGCCTATAAATTAATAGAATTGAAATTTCAGAATATTTTACTTAATGAATTTTTAAGCATTTTTGAGAAGCAATTCTTTAGAAAAGATATATGCTGATAAGATATGATCTGATGGCTTCCATTTAGCTTCAAGATATTCTTATTTTTTTGTATTCAGAAGTGCTTCATAGAATAAGCCTGAATGCATTCTGTTATTTTGGTGTTGTATTTTTTTCTTAAGCTTTTGTAATCTAAGATATTTGGCTCAATAGTCAGTTAAGACTTCCTTATAGTAATCAGCTCACTCTTTTAACCAGTTATGAGGCATTTCATCAAAGAATAGTTGAGGTTGAGCATCATTCCTACAACAGATTACCTGACATTTTTGCTCTAGTAAGTAGTTAATAAACTTCTCTAGAATATGTCTAGGCACTATACATACTTCATCCCAGATGACAACTTATGAAAAATTTTTTTTTCTAATGTGTTTAGGAGTCCACTTTTCTACACCATTCCATTTAAAGAAACTATGCCAAGTTTGGACTTTTACTTTACAGTCATTTTGAAAGTCTTTAGCCAATGCATTTGTATAAGTAAAGACTACCATGTTTATATCTTTAAAGATTCGAATTGCATGTGTTGTCTTTCCAGAACCACTACCTTCATTGAGATAAGAAACTTGGGATCTTGTAATAGAATCATGAATTGATGGTGCAGTACTTTCGGTAATATCTTTAATTAATTCTCAATGCCTATTTTTTGGCCAGTATACAATATTAGGATTTGAATCATGAATTTTTTATCCTTTATTATACCATTGTCCAGATTGTATTTCTTTAATCAGTTTTGAAAGAACCTTTTCTTTTAGAGGTTTAGATTTTTAGTAATAGCTATACTAGTATTGCTAGATGGCTTCTTATTAGAGATAACTCTTCCAAAACCTTTATAAGCATACCAATTCCAAAAGCAATCATAACAAACAAATAGTTTATATTTGCTATATGGAAAATATTCTCTTATCACTAAAGACATTTTAGTTTTTTGGAATACTTTAACTGATTTTATAAATGATAGGTTGTTACATACTGCACATGAATGCCAGTCATGTAAACATAAAAATTTACTAGTATTTACCAAATCTTTGGGATAGCTAATCTTTTGCTTAACTTACTTAAAGAAAGCAGATACATTTTTGATCTTATATAAGGCCTTTCTTTGTATATATATAGAATCTGTTGCAATTTTTACTACTTAATTAGGGCCAATAGTCTTCATAGTATGTAAGTATATATCCAAGCAGATATTTATTACTACCTGTATATGTTTCTTCTTTAATGCAATCCTGGATCAAAAAATCAAGTTCATCTTCATCTATTACAACTTGGTGAGTAAGGCATTTTTCTTCAACTTTATTTTCTTGTATAAACTTTCCTATGATTGCACAACCTATATTTTGATTTTTAGACAACTATACTTTTGTCTGCTTGGTAAGAGAAATAATGGCTTCTCCTATAGTTACACTTTCTAGGATATCTGTTTTAAGAAAATATTATAAAAGTACAATAGGAGTCCAGCTTTTTGCCTTCTTACATCCTTCTTTACTTCGACAGACAAAATGCTTTTCATACTAAACAGGAATTGCTGAATGAATATTAGGGACAAATTTGAAAGATCTTACTTGAGCAAATCCTATAATATCATCTTGTGGCAATTCTCTATTCACTGCTATTTGAACAAGATGATGTGTTGAATGACCATATCATTTGAACCATAGTGAATATTTTCTCTAATTACACAAGCTTGCTAGATAACATTTCTTCATGTCTATACATACAACATCTTCAACTTGATAATTAGGTACATTTCAGCATTCTCTATACCTATGTTCAACACAAGATTACTTTATATTTTCATGTATACTAGCCAGAGTAGAATGCCAATTATTGATCTTGTTAGCAAGTTTGCCTCTAGTATGATTAGCACCAAATACCTGTTCTGCTAACTTAACTATTTTAAGCAATTCTAGAGATTTCTGCTTTCTTTCTTTATTAATTATTCCTTTCTAAAATTGTCAGTCTATTGCATTTTCAAATAATTTCTCACATGCTTTTATAATATCTGTATGCTTCATTTATGTTCTAAATATATGAACATCTTCTAGAACAAATTGTAATATTGACTGAATATCTTTCAATATTTCTTCTTCTCTAAGTTCAAGCCCAATAAGCCATATTGCTTGTGATTCTTGAAAAGCTTTATTAATAGCCTTCAATGCATTATCATTATAATACTTCACTATTCGATCTCTTGGAAAATGATGATTTTTAGAAAATGTGTGACCATTATGAATTACTATCTCAATCTCTTCAAACCTACCTGTTTGATATTTTCCACTATTAAAAATGGTCCTGTAAGTAATATTAAGCAACTTGATTAGCATTTTAAGTATTTTTTCTAATTCTGCTACATCCTCTACCTGAGCACCAAGCTGACACATTCTTTTTTCCTATGTATTAATTTTTTGCCTACGTATATTAGTCAGACCATGTTCTTTTTTTGCTTTTTCAAAATGCTCTATTATTTGCTAAGCTATACAATTAAGTGTACCATCTTTCATAGGCATTAATTATTTACTATCTGGCTTCTGGATTCTATATAGTACATAGACAACTGCATTATTTTCAAGTATTTCAAAATCAGAGGTTTTAATTTAAATTGCTCTAACTAAAAATTTATTATTGATTCTAACCCAGAAGCCTAGCTTTGTTTTCTTTGTAAGAACAATATTTTGACTTCTGAAATAAATTTATTACCAACCTTTTTTGACTTACATATGGGCTCATATTTGTCAACAATTTTGAAATTATTATAATCTGGTTGAATAAACTTTATCCTTATAAGAAACTTATCATTATCTATTATATTTAAAATTTTCTTGGCATGTTCTTCAGTCATTTCAGCTTCATATATTTTATCTTTCTCAATGATTACAAACTAGGTTGAAAATGTATATTTAGCACTATCTACTTTAAACATATTATTTGCTATCTAAATTCCTTTTTGCTATACTTTTCAGTGCTCTTCATTATTTGAAAATGAAACTGGCCAAGACACTTTTTTATCTAAATTCTTTGAATCTTCTTCTAGTTAAAAAACTTGGAGTTTCTTTTGTGATCTGCTAGAAGACTTTTCTATTAAATTAAACCATTTTGCATCTGTCTTTAGAACCTTTTTACTAATAATACTTGAGTTGTTTTTTATCTCAAGAATTGCTAGCCAGTTAGCCAAATTCTTTATAGATAGGAGGCTAGGTACTGATAATTGAGATTTGGATACATTAAAACTAGATAGCTGAACTGGATCAGGTATTTTGGTTTGTTTATACTTAAACTTTCTATTAAAATGATTTGTTAAATTATAAGTCTTTTTAAAATTATTCTTTTCATATCGAAGGCATTGAAGTACCATTTTTGATAATAAGTAAAGCAATTTAGTTGTTTGTATTAATAGTATGTAAACTTTTGTTTAAAAAATAATTAATTATTTTTCTTTTGATCTGTCAATCAACAGGGATAGCCTAACCTGATACTATATTTCATTAGGTTTCTTTTTTTTTGAATTTATGAGAAAAAAAAGTTTGTAGCAAGCTGACTAGCTCTGAATCTGGCTTTTGCAGAAAACATACTAATAGTTACTATGTAACTTAATATATTAATAGGCTTCAGAATAGAGCAACTGCCTTCTCATAATTTTATTTTGTTTTTTTCAGAGTAAAAAATAGATGAAAATTTTTTAACCAAGTTTATATACAAAAAATTTATATTTAGTCCAAAAAATTTATACTTAATCTGTTTTTTTTTATATCTAGTCTGATTTTTTTTTATACATTCAGTCTTCTCACATTCCCTACTAACTTTTTTTTATTTTCCTCTTGTTAACAAATTAATATTCTTAAAGTTAACAAGACGTAAATATACAAGAAACTAAATTTATGTTCTTAAAGTTAATAAAGCTTTAGATAAATAAGAAAACATATTACTTTTCTTTAGATTAAGAAGACTTCAGATAAGCAAAAAAACAAATTAGCGATCTTAATAAGTAAAAGGCATTAAAAAGCATTTCTGATATATAAAAATTTACACTATTATATAGACTTTCTAGCCAGATTTTAAGACCAAGTAGGATAACAAAAAAAATGTATTATTTTTATATATAATATTAAGACCCAATAGGTAAAAGAGTACATTAACCGAGTGCAAAATTGTAAAGATGCACTCTTCCTAATGATCACTTAAACCAAACTAGCACCAAAACAGTTTGAAGAGTTATGCTTTTAAGATAATAATATCTTTAATTCTGTTTAGATATATAAAGCAGATTGTTGCTAATAAACTAGAAGTATGTGAAAAAATTAAGATGCAGGTGACTCTTCTAATGGTTTGTATTAAGGTTAAGCCTTGTCTGTTAGTAAACTCCCCAACATATTTAGTATCCAAACCAGAAGAATATTTTGGAAACAATAAAGAAAAACTCTGATTAAAGGTTATCAAAAGCTTGAAAACAAATGAACAACTAGAAATACTCTCTTTGGTTTGGCTTTTTACATATCAAATCTGTTAATCTTTTCTACCTATTTTATTTTTCTTACTCAAAAGTAGGAAAATTGCTCCTACACTACAAAAAATCAGCATTGTTTACTACTTTCTTTTTTGGACAGTTACGTGTTGTGACATGATGTAATAGGAACACAACAATCATGTGGTGGCCTAATATATAATGTAATAAAGAAACAAAAAAGAATTTAAGTTGGAGAATTATAGCAAATTAGAAATATATAGTAATTCCTAAAATCATATATATAAAATTTTTACTTCTTTTATACAAATTAAAGTGTAGTTAGATAAGAGTGTAATGACTTAGTGAAGTGGATAAGTTGTCAACCCTCCAAGTAGTAGATTGGGAGTTCAAAACCCACCGACAGTGAAAATTTGGAAAACCCACATATGTATATTGGTACTACAGATATTTGTGCAATGTTTGAGTTACATAGAAAAATGCAAACTGGCATTGGGTGGTGCAAACCCAAGATAAGTCCTTGTGTCTGGTACTATAATAACAGCAATCCATCAATCAGTTGGGATCAGTACCTGTAACACAATTGCACCAGATAACTAGCAGGTCATAGGGCATCTGTGCAATGTTGGAGTTACATGGAATAATGCAAACCGGCATCAGATGGTGCAAACACAAGATAAGTCCTTGTGGTCAGGTAAATCTGTGAACTGGGAAAACTGAAGCCTACTTAAGAAGACCCAAGTAAAGAGGTAACACAGATCTTTGACAGTACTACTGTAAAGGCTAGACCTAGGAAATAGATACCAATGTAGAAGAAATCAGACAAGCAAGAACCTCAGGTGAGGGGTACTACCAACCAGGCTGCCAGAAGTCTTGAACTGAAGGAAAAGGACCTTGGGGGCAGACCCTGGAATACCAGAAACAGGTCACAGTTCTACTGGGCTATCTGGATTGAGAGTCTGGTCTCAGAAGCAGGGTATATTATAAGTATTAGGGATATGCTGTGAAGTCAGTACTGAGGTTTGGGTGAATTTTACAAGGGTAAGCCCTGTTAGCAAAAATTAAATATAAGTAGTTAGTTAGCAGAAGGGCCTCTGGAGCCCTATAGTCAGGTGATGTACTCTAAAATCTATAATGGCCTAACAGACATACAAACAGAGAGGTCACAGTTAGATTAGACGGTATCTAATTAGGTGTACAAGAGCTTGTGCTGCTATCTGCTAGTATAGTATAGAGATAACCTTGTACAAGTTATGTAATCATAATTGAATTTACAATAAAGGCAGTAGCCATTATAACTAATAGCCTTAGTGAAAGCAAAAAAAAAAAAAGTGTAGTTAGATCCTTAGCACAGGTTTAAAGTGCTAGTATTCTAAATAGTCATGAATAAGATATGCTTCTTGATACTTTTTTTTTTTTCTTTTTTTTTCCTGTATTTTTTTTAGTTTAGTTTAGTTTAGTGTTTTTTTTTTTTTTTTTCACTTCCCTACAAGAAAGTGTTATCAGATTGGTAATACTTTATTGTAGGACAGTAGTTGGATAAGCCTCTCAAATTCTCTTTTTTTTTAGAAATTAGGCAACTGGTGTGGCAGATTACTTGTAAGTGCTTATAAAAGTAACTGTAGGATGTTGACTTAACACATTAAGTCTAAAAATGTTTGTTAGTATATAAACAAAAATCTTAATAAAGAGTATCAGCAAGACTGCCAAAGTGAAAAAAAAAAAGTACATTAACCAAGTATATATTTTTTTACACTTCTGGTCTGCACATGGTCCCTGCTATATAAGCCTTCTAACCTAATTTTAAAGTCAAGTAGAATATTAAACAAACCTATATTCTTAAGCTTAACAAAGCTTTAGATAGACAAGAAAAGAAATTACTTTTTTTGGGATTAACAAGGCTTTGAGTAGATAAGAAAACAAATTAGTAAACTTAATGAATAGAAAAGATTAGAAAAGATTCTTGGTATATAAAAATTTATACTATAATATAAAGAATTTAATCTAATTTTAAAGCCAAACAGAATAGCAAAAAACTATATCAATTTTTAATATAGTTCCTAAGGTTGGGGAGCATCCAGATGGATTCCTAATATATGTAAAAAAAGTCTGCTCACTCTCCTTGCTGCTAAAAGTAAAAAAAGTAAATTTAATACTATTAACAAAAAAGACAAACTACATAGATTAAACAAATAAATAAAAAGTAAATAATAAATAAATAACAGAAAAAAATCTGCTATTATTATACCTTATATCTGCCAAATAATAGCAGTATAATAGCAAAATAACAATAAAATAACAGGAGTTTTGTTAATATGAATAACATAATAATAACATAATAGTAAAATAATAAAACAATTTTATTATTTTACTTTTAGTTACAAAGACTAAAAGTAAAATAATAAAACTGTTCTAGTATTTTGCTATTATATTACTATTATATTACTCATATTGGCAAACCTTTTATTATTTTATTGTTATTTTGCTATTATACTGTTATTATACTGCTATTATTTGGCAGATATAAGGTAAAATAATAGTAGATTTTTTTTTTGTTATTTATCTATTATTTACTTTTTATTTATTTGTTTAACCTGTATTAAGACTAACAAAATCAATAATAATACTTAGTTACAAATTTAAAATATCAGACACAATAAGTAATAATTACAAATATTTTATCAGATAACAACAACACTGCACTAATCTAAATGCTATCTATAAAAATGCTTATAACAAAAAAAAATGCATTGCTTTTTCTTAAATTTTAACTAGTAACAAAAGTAGGCAATATAGCATACTTTTTACAAAACAAGCAATAATGTAATTATAGGTAAATTAACAAAACAACAATGCAACACAAATTAAAAATAACAATAATACAACAAATATTATAAAAAAAAATAATACAATAATTATTATATACAATACAAACTTATATTGCAAAAGAAATCAAACAATTATGCTGCAAAATTAAATATCAAATAAAGAAAGAAGTAACTATCACAACACTTTAGCAGAGACAGTGCCTACTATGTAGAATGTAGGTTAATATTATACAACTTATAAAATTTTTTTTTAATATTATTTTAAAATATTTTAATTATTTTGTATTACTCACTTGCATTAGAAGATAATTGCTAATAAGTTACTAAGCAAACTTAATGCTTTTATAGTATAAAAAATAATATTCATTAAATTTTTCTGAATTTCAAAATCTTAAGTTTTTGTTTCAAATAAAAGATAGTAAAAATGCATAGAATATTAAATAATTAGTTTTATAAAATTTTACTAGTTTGGTGATGAAAAGCATTAAGAAGTCAAAGTTAAAGGTTTGGTAAAAAAATTGTAAAATAAAAGTATTGTGTTTTTATTATTTGTTTTATGAAATATGCAAAAAATTTTAGTTATATTAGGTATTTATAAGCAACAAACAATTTAACAATTAAATAAGATATTTAGTACAAGCTTTGATCAAAGCTTTAATTTTTTTTTTTTTTTTTTTTAACCTTAGGCAGTTACACTAATACTTTATTAAGATTCTAGAAACTATAAAATTACATAGAAATTCCTAATATCTAAGTCCAGCATCATCTGGCCACCTTTATGGTACCTAAGTGCAACCTGCCGCACTATCTTTGTTAAAGATAGAATGCTTGTCAAGCTACTTAAAGCTGTACTAGAAAGGTCTTCACCTTTCCATGACAAGCATGTTTAATGTCTTCAGAGCTTCTTTCTTCATTCAGTCTGCCCCTTCTATTTCCTTTCTTTTTTATATAAACGAAGCACAAACACAAAATCTAAGGAGAGTAAAAAAA